CTGCTGCTACCTGAGGATGAAGTTGATATACAAAGGAACACAGGGTCAGGAGAATCACTAGGAAATGGAGTGGAGGCTCTGAATGAGTCAACCTGGAAGCCTGCTCTATCTCTGCACTTCTAATTTAAAAGTAAAAATATATTTTTCCCTTATTGGTTAAGCCAATTTCAGTTGAGTTTACTGTTACCTGCAAATGAAGGAAGCTTAACTATGTCACAGATGAGAAAACATAAATAAAACTCTGAAAATTAAGTGCTATAAGATGGTAATATACTGTTATCATTATTTTAAAATATTATAATTCACGTGAGTAACATCTATCTTGGTTTTATGATGAAGCCAAATCATCTTTGGGAGGTACCTCACAGAGTTATCTAGTTTCCAGTTTGAATCCTTTCGATAATATTCCTGCCAAGTGGCTATTCAATAAATGATTGAACTCTCCCAATAATGGGGACATCACCACCTCCCAAGGTGGCACTAATGATTATGTCACTCAGCACATTACGGTACGCTCATCCCGGGATCCCATATTTATATCTGCTTTGTGCCTACGCTGCCACATGGAAATACTTGAGCTCCATCAGTTCAGCCATGGGTGTGACTGTGGTCTGGCTGTGCCTTCATTCCTCCTTGCTGGCAGTCTCTCTGCCGAGCCCTGGGGGGAAGCCACAGCTGCTCTTGGGAAGGACAATCGCTATTTGGTCTGCATTTGAGGTGAGAGCCTCTGCAGTCATTCACAACAGCTTTATCGTGTAGTTTTTAGAATCATAATTTTGAAATGATTTATTTCAGAGGCCAGCCCTGCATACTCTGACCTGGGCAAGCTGGGCTCACTGCAGCAGAGAGCAGACACTGTCAAGGCGAGAGCAAAGATGAAGGGGGAAATAATATGCTTATAGTTGATCCTTCTGCTCTGAAAGGGAAGATGTATTTGTCTTTCTCTGCTCCAAAAACCATACCAGGCAGTAAAAGGTTATGCACATGCTAGATACAGGGGATTATTAACTTTAGACCTCTTTCCTTCCTTGTCATTTATTGTGCATCTGATTAAAGTCTGCAGCCATTGCTTTGATATCTGTGGATTTGCCTCTGTGCCTCCTCAACTCACCCTTCCTGATGTCAGTCAGAGGGCCCTGGAGTGGACCCTGTGATGACCACCCTGGTCCTCCTTCAGAGCTCAAGGACTTATTCCCCCAGCTCGTAGGAATGCTGACATCAGAAGGCACCTGGCTAAAGCGAGTCACCTACCCCAAGGTCAGACCTGCCTCCCAGGGCTGCCGCTATCCAACGACTGGTCATACAAGGGATATAAACACTCAACTCCTTCTGCCCCAACTTGGGACAACCCTGCAGGGCCATCTGAGCTTCAGAGCTCCCCATGGGTTCAGCTGAGGTCACTGCTGAGACTGCATCATGGCCCAACTTCCTGATAACTGTTCTGCATGCTAATTTCCACCAGAGGTCTGCTTCCCAAGGACTCCCCTCTGCGACAAGCTCTCTGTGGTGACCTATGCCCAATATTGGGAACAGAAATTCAGACAGATAAAAATATGCAGATAAGACTCCTCCGTATGGATCTATTAAATAACATGGTGACCCTGTGAGCTGTGGAAAAGACCCTTTATCTCCCCAAGCATCTCCTTAGGAATGATAGTAAGAACTACCTTTATAAAGGGGAAGCAAGATAAAATGGAAAATAATCTTTAAGTCAGTCTTAGCCATTTCCTGTGACTAAGCTATTATCCTTGTAAAATGCCAGAATCCAAGGAACTGTATTGTAAGATAGTTTGCTCTGCATTTTTTCCAATCAGTATAATGGAAGCCAAAAGTAACTCACCTCATCTGAAATTTGACCTCCAAATGTCACCCATGTTCCTGGAAAAGAATAAATATTTGCATGTTATTCATAATCATTTTTCTAATACTGCACATTAAGGGAAACACTTTTTCTTACATCAGGGCTACTTCAGTAGGTTGTTCATGAAGGTACTTGGATGAGGGGCACTTGGGGGCTGAAGTCCTACCCATCCTCCTCCTGTCGCTAAGTTCCCCAACAGGGCTCTGTATTCCCCTGCATCCCTCTGGATGCCTTTTCTTCATTCGAAGGCCCAGTATATGCTAATGGAAGCCCTGTCTACTAAATTCTTTTTCTTCTGACGTAGGACCATGTATGCTGCTGTGCAAGAAGCCCCAAGCCCACTTCGGTGCACACCCATTCTTGCTCCAGCTTAGCTAAGAAGTTATCAGTTCTGAAAGTGAAGGTAAGACCTTGGGTCACATTTCTCCCTTTCTTTGCCTCCAGTGAGGGACTCTATTTTGTGTTCTCTATTCCCTTTCAAAAGGAACCCTCTCAGGGGTCCTTCCAGTCCCCACTTCCAAGCCCCAGGAGATGACACTTAAGCATCTAATCTCTTATGACCTGCTACTCCAGAATGGAAATTGCCATTGGTTTTGGGGTGGGGTAGAGGCAGTAGCCAATGTGAGGTTTGGGAAGGCAAGGAGGAGAGGCATAACCAGTAGCCAAAGATATGCATTCGTAAAACAAGAGGGAAGCAGACACTGAGTGGGCTGTTTCCAGTCTATAGTCACCTCATTTGTATTCATAATTCTCTCCTTGATCTTTTTTTTTGAGCCCTAATTCCATGCCAGGCAAAGACACTGCACCCAGGTGCTCAGGACAGTGAGGTGACTGCCCCAGCTCCTCTGTCTCAGGAGCTCACAGTTGACAATACTATCAACAAATGCTATGACGGAGGCAAACACAAGGCAGGAAGGGTGGGAGTGCTCTACTCAGACTGGAGGTGGCCCTCAAGAAAGACTTCCCAGAAGAGGTGACACTTTTGGTTGAGTTGCAAAGGAAGGAACTGAATGAAGAGGGGAGGGACAGGCATTCCAGGTACAGGTAAGAGCATGGGCAAGGCAAGTAGAAAACTTGAGTGGGCTGATGAGCCGCGGCGTGGGCTGCTGCTCCGAGGAGTAAAACATGATGTGGAGAGGGAGGGGTGGCAGGAGGTGGCTAGGCACCGTTCGTGTTTGTGGGGGCAACAAAGAAATATGGCTGGAAACTTACATTTTGTGGTGTGTAATACCAGGATAGCTACTGTTTATGGAACATCTTCCAAATGCCAACAGTACACTGAGAAACGTGTATAAGACATTTCATCTCTAATAATTTTGACAAACTTACAAGGCAATTTTATTATCCCAATTTCCAGATGAGGACTCTAACATCAACCAACCTAATAAGTGATACACTCAGGATTCCCGCACATGCTGGGTTTCCTTTCCACTGCATTTTGCTGCCTCATCAGTAAGCTTCCAAATTAATTATGGCACTTGGACTCATATTCCATAGAAGCGTGTTGATGTAACTGTACCTGTTTTCTTCTTAGTTCTCGGGGACTAAACAGAGGTAGAATATAGGTTATTTTACTGTTACACTCTACATCCCCAGAGGTTGTAAATGGGTGGCTTACAGATTGCACTCAGCTTGCAGACTTGTCTTGCCTGGCAAGAACAATGCTGACCCACTTGATATTTTAATAAACTTGGAACAAGTTACCAACATTTTGATAATTTAAGAGATTAATCTCCTTAATCTTAGGAGATATTTCTTTTAAAAGTCTGATTTCTAGCTTCTCTTAACAACAGAGGATCAGTGTCCCCACACGCAGACATTCCCTAAATCTGAGGGGCAATGCCCTCTGTGGAAGGGCTATACCCTCCCTGTTTAGTCAAAGGTCACACACTTTCCTTTGTATTTCCAACACTGAAATTAATTGGCAGTTGTTATTTAGTACCACGTGTTTACTGCTATTTTTCTTACTGTAAAATTTAGAGAAAAATGGACTTGTGCATCTCCTAAAAAACAAAGTTTAGTATTTCAAGAAAAAATAGGGGTGCACTTTTTTTGGGTCGATGTAAAGAATATCCAAACAAAAAATATTTACAACAGAAAAATTACAACTTAAGGCACTATAATTAAACAAGCCATGACTGGTATACAGAAAAGATGGGCGTTGGGAAACTTAATGGACTGAAGAAATGGCAGCATTTGTTTTGAATGAGAATAAAACAAATGATCTGCTGTGAAATGCAGTTTTCTATTAAGTGAAAAAATTGCCTCAGCATCTAAACCTTTTTACAGACACTTTTATAAAAGAGTTTCTTTTGAATGTAGCAGAAATTGTGTCCAGAGCATAAACAAGCACTTGCAAATGTTCGTATAATCAGAAACATTGTCGCTTAGCATGTTAAAAATACGGCTGAGGGTCCCCCTGGTAGCACAGTGGTTGAGAATCTGCCTGCCAATGCAGGGGACATGGGTTCGAGCCCTGGTCTGGAAAGATCCCACATGCCACAGAGCAACTAGGCCCGTGAGCCACAACTACTGAGCCTGCGCGTCTGGAGCCCGTGCTCCGCAACGGGAGAGGCCGCAACAGTGAGAGGCCCACACGCCGTGATGAAGAGTGGCCCCCGCTTGCCACAACTAGAGATAGCCCTCGCACAGAAACGAAGACCCAACACAGCCAATAATTAATTAATTAATCAATTTTTAAAAAAATACGGCTGAGAACTTTCAGGATAAGTTAAATTATTGGTGGCATCTTCTATTGCAGCAAATGAGCACACAGATATAAATAACAGCACACTGTTAGCTATATTTATTTGCAATGTTTTGAGAATCTTGGAGGGGTCAAAGAATTTTTGAATAAGAAGTCTCTGCAAGGCAAAATTACTTTGTGATGAGAAGGGTCTCAGACCATTGGATATAGAAGGCACTGTTCCAAATTTTAAGTGTTACTACAGATCAGGTTCTCACAAAGGGTGGGGCTGATCTTGGACCCATCAAGTGACAGATCAGAGGTGACAGTATTCTGTAGGGGCACTATGCATAAATCCATTAATTTCCTCATTCATCAGAAATTGCTTTGGGCTAAAACGAAACAGGCCATGGATTCACTAATTAATATCATGAATCAGCTATTCTTCTACATCTTGGAGCAAAATCAGGTCAGTGTTTGCTTAATGAATTTGCTGGCTTACTTGTGCTGTGATGTTGGAGAGAATTTTTTTTTAACTATTCATGTCATCAAAGGAAATAGTCCCATTTCCACTTAGCAGCAAAGATTGGCTCAAAGTCCCAAGCTTCTTGCTGACATTATACCTCATCGACACCTTGTGAATATTTTTCTATTGGGGCATTTCAGAAGCATTTGCACAAATGTCTCATTTGCTTCTCTCAGTATTGACAATGAAGTCTTTGGAAAATTCATTTGTTAAAGAATAATTTGGTTCATCTTCCAACATTGCAGTCAGTTTCCAGATATGAAAATGGTAGCCTGAAATTTATTCTCTGAAATGGGGCTTTTGAATACAGGATTGCACACTTTAGGAAAATAAACTGGTATTATTTAGCTTACCTTTCTTAATTAATTTTTGATAGTACAGATGCAGGGCTATGAAGTTATCAAACTGTACTACAAAATGGTATTGAAGACGATGACAACATTGAAAGCTGGGACTGTACACCCATCTTGGAGGAAATAATCTTCCTATCCACACTGGGAAGAGCTTATGTTTAGGAGCAGTTTTATTCCAAAATTAATCTGAAAAAACTAGTTACCAACCCCAGTTTACATATTTAAGGCTGCACACCATACATCACAGAGAAAACCACAGGGCCTGACTGACATTTTGGTACAGAAGAAAAGACATTAGGTTTCTGATGTCAGGTCAAAGCAGTAATGAATTATAAGGTAATGATAATAATAATAATAAATGCTTTTCTTTTTCAGTTTTAGATTAAAAGTTTAAATATAAAATAGAACATGGATATCAGTGCTGTGGAGGAACGGCTGTTGGCCTGTGGTGGGTTCAAGGTCCCTGGCTGGTTGGGGGCTCCCGTGCTCTGCTTCTCCCCACTGAGCTACTGCCTGGTGCAGAGGAAGCCATGGCGCTCCGGATCACCAGGAACTGAACATTAATGCTGAAAATAAGACGAAGGTCAGTATGGCAGGCGCAAAGTGCGTGCCTGTGGCCACTGTTGCAGCCTCTAATCCCGGGCTGAGGCCAAGAACAGCTCTTGGGGACGTCGGTAACAGAGTCAGTGAAGAGCCACAGGCCAAATTACCCCTGAAGAAGGAAGCAAAAACTTTAGCTGCTGGAAAAGTTATTGCTAAAAAACTACCAAAACCTCTGGAAAAGACACCTGTACCTGTGCTGGAGCCCCAGCTGGAGCTGGATCTGGAGCCAAAGCCAGAACCCGAGCCTGTTAAAGAACAGAAACTTCCCCCTGAGCCTATTTTGGTTGATACTCCCTCTCCAAGCCCCATGGAAACATCTGGCTGTGCCCCTGCAGGAGAATATGTGTGTCAGGCTTTCTCTGATGTAATTCTTACAGTGAATGATGTGGATGCAGAAGATGGAGCGGATCCAAACCTTTGTAGTGAATATGTGAAAGATATCTATGCTTATCTGAGACAACTTGAGGAAGAGCAAGCAGTCAGACCAAAATACCTACTGGGTCATGAAGTGACTGGAAACATGAGAGCCATCATAATTGACTGGCTAGTGCATGTTCAAATGAAATTCAGGTTACTCCAGGAGACCATGTACATGACTGTTTCCATTATTGATCGGTTCATGCAGGATAATTGTGTGCCCAAGAAGATGCTGCAGCTGGTTGGTGTCACTGCCATGTTTATTGCAAGCAAATATGAGGAAATGTACCCTCCAGAAATTGGTGACTTTGCCTTTGTGACTGACAACACTTACACTAAGTACCAAATCAGACAGATGGAAATGAATATTCTAAGAGCTTTAAATTTTAGTCTGGGTCGCCCTCTACCCCTGCATTTCCTTCGGAGAGCATC